ACTTCGTGTGCCCTCACCTGAGGACTTTCCAAACTGGACGATGAAGAAGCCATTAAATTGTACACTTCCACAATCATATCAACAATCCACTGTGAAATGGTGATATTCAAGGCAGGGCGGCTTTGCTAGCCCTGAGACACCTTGGTTTGACCGAAGTACTAGTTCAGAGCTTGGACAGGACACAGTCCTTTGTGCCCACTATGTTAGTGAGACGTGGGATAACAATCGGTTCTGGGTCACGCCCTGCAATTTGGTTCTTGGCAAGACCGCCCATCTGAGTCTTCAAAATAACATCTGTTCCTGAAGGACAGTGCTCTGATCTCTGAACGCCGCCTACTTGAGGCCAGAGCCAAAAGAAAAAATTGTTTTTATAGTGACATACTTCATGTCCACCTTTCCCATGGGCTCGAAGTAGGATGACAAGTTCCAGCCTTGAGGATTTGTTAGCCCTTTTGTTCAGAAAGACTTAAGCTGTTGTTAAGCTAAATTTGACTGCGCCAGAAAAGCCTAGCGCTTGCATGAGTTTGCCGACAGCCTCCACGCGTGAAAATGGAACAACGCTGGGCTCATTGGGAGAGTACCGTCCGGCTGGGACAACAGATACGGAAGATCTGCCAACTCCACTGGGGTCTAGACTAGAAGGTCCAGCAACATTAGGACCTCACCTTCACTGGCCAATTGGGCTCCACCAGTTTCAGAAAGCAGGTGGGTTTGTGTCGCAGTTTCTCCAACATTTACCCCCCCCCCACTGAGGCAGTGTTAGCTTTGTACCACCCTGCACAGGGGGTACCACTACTGAAGCCCCCCCTTCACACAGAGTAACAAGTAGGAACGCTCTGCACGGCACGGCGGAGCAAAGGTAACAAAGCCGACTGTGCCTGAGGGAGGTGTGGAAAAATTGGCAGAGGGCGCCCTACAGGTCCCTGTTCAGGGGGGTACCCCTACATAAGTGGACGCTCCCTTTGCCACTGATGTGAGTTGTCCCCCCTGATCCTCTTAAGGAGAGATCAAAAGGAGGATGTGACACATCTGACCCGAATCCTGGTGGAGGGGGATAGACAGCACGGTCCATCCCCTCCCACCTGACTCTTTCTGCGTCGTACACCGCAACTGCAGATTTAACATCCAGGCCTTTCAAGCCGTCTCACCACCATGGAAGGAGACTGACTAACATCGGTAAGGAAAGACAACAAGGTCTGTCCTTGAACTCAGGCTGCGTCAAAGTCTTGGTGGATTGGACCGGTTAAGCCTCTAAGGGCTGTACCGATCACACCTCGGTACTCAACATCGATGGCTCTACACAGGGAGCAAGTCTCACCATCGGTGCTTCCAAGGTAGCAACCAGCGTCTCCGTCACTGTCACCTGAAAGATAAATGAATGTGAAGGTCTTGCATCAGTCGTCGATCCCGCTACATTAAGCAGGGAGTCAGACCATGGCAAATTTCGATCTCCCTCAGTCCCCAATAGAAGGCAAACCTCGTCTCGCTACCAAGGGAAAAGGAAGAAAACGTCCCAGGCCCAGGCTCCTGGAGTCGACAGGAGCGTTGTGTACGTCAGGAGCTTGGCAGTCCAGGATGTGGTGAATAGGTCTAACCTTGGACCATCATATCGCCTTAACAATCTGGAGGCTACCCCATGAGGTATCTGCCACTCCGTGTTCTGTAGACGAAGCCGCAACAAGAGGGCGTCCACTTGACTGTTTCCTGGAAGTTGGTGTGCGGCTAGCTCCACATTGTATTCCAGGCACCAAAGGAGAATTTTTCACACTAGGACTGACAACGATGGGGATCTGGTCCCCCCTCCTTGTTGCTATAGTACACCACCACTGTGTTGTCCATGCAAAGCAAGACTCTGTGGTCTTGAACTGGGTCCATACAATTCCTTGCTGGCAGAGTGCAGGGAGGGTATAATGTCAATGTACAAATCGCTGCCCAGCTCGGTCCCCTCCAAAATCAGAGGCCTGACCACTGGCTACCTGTAGACTAGGTCTTGGCAGAGACCCGGTAGCACCAGCCTGTGCCACCGCTGTCTCCCAAAAAATAATGGGAAGGACAGGCTAGCATCGGAGGTATCCCAGGAGGAAGCAACCTAAAGGCAAGTGTAGCCTTCTGGTGTGCTTCTTCCAGCTTGCCAAAACAAGGGGCAACTGCAGTGGAGGCAACCTGCTCCCCCTGCATTTGGTCTACGCAATGTGCAAGAGAACGCAATTTGTCCTGGCAGGTCCTCAACCAAAGTCTCATAGACAAACCCAGCGCTGTGCAAGGACATGTCCGCAGAGGGACCCGCAATGGGCCCTATTGGAGTAAAAACCTCCAGGGGCCCAGCCTCGCTGTTGCTGGTATGATCGGGTAAACCACCGCCTGAAAAAACACACTGCGAGGATGGCCTCCGATCAGCAGGGGGTCCTTGGGATCTCCACTGTTGGGGAATTTCTGCTCATGCCAACACACCACTCACTTATACCAATCTTACTAGACGTGCGACCTATGCTGCGAATACGTGCAACGTGGTCAGTCTCAGCGATTTTTACGTGGTTTTGGAAAGCATCCCATGCCTCAGTTTAAGCACAAATAGCATTTCAAATGCGGGTTCCATGCTGGTAAATTCAATTTGAATAGACAAAACCCGTGGCGAGCTTCTGGTGTGCCTGTTCTTACTTCTATCCATATTTAAATAAACACATTGGTAAAAAATGAACACTACATGCATGAGGGAAACGAAATACAGTTGAAAGGTGACACAAAGAAAACAAAAAAAGTGGTCAGATTTGTGTCGCCTGGTTCATTTTATTTGTTGTAAAAATATACACACAAAACGGGAACGACACAGGGGTAATAAATAAGAAAACTTATCGTACCAGCCAGGCATCAGCTGCCGTGCCAGCGACAGCAACCCAAGCTAGAAACCCGGACAGGGTTTTTTTCTCCGTCATCGGCAGAATCACTGATTAATGTCTACAGTTCAAAATAGTCATTTTGACTGACCGAAGTCTATGATGGGTAATTGAACTAAGTGAATCTTATGCATTCACTGATATGAGTTTTCATTTTAAATCACGTTAGGGAATAGCTTCAACCTCACATGGGCAACTCACTGCAACTCACCCGAAATAGTTCCCCTCACGAGCCGATTTACTGATAATATATGTGAAGACCGTTGATAAAACTAGTCAACAACTGTATTTATATGACCATAAATACATTTTTGGTCCATAAATAATTTGTTTAATCGCAGCTGATAAACTTGGCGCGAGTCACGTTTAAGGAGCAGCGTCCTTGTACGCAAATAAATAGATCGAACTAAGACGCTTAGGTGATGCAAACAAACAATGTTAGTTTGTGCTGGCGAAATATAGAAAGTTGGGAATGTACACATAAATAGGATATCAACATTCGTCACCATCAAATCTAGAGTTTATTAAACTCGTGTAGTACTTCTTATAAACATTACTAGACTAGTTTAATAAATGAGATAAAATGCACAGTCATGTATATTCTCAATGTATGCGTAGAATATTAATTTAGAATAGAAGGGAATGAAACTTCCTATATATTCAAATCAACAACAACGCAACATGTAGTAATACTGCGATGAAGACTTTCATTTTTATGCAGAAAAATACAGTATTTTAACAAAATAAAATCATATTTATTGAAGTTGTTGTTCATACACTACATAATTTGTTACTTTCATTCAGCTTTTGAGTCATAATTAAAGACAAAAATATGGAGAATATAGCAAATTATATTTTTTCTGTAATATTCTTGTGTAATCAATAATTATCAGAATTATTTATGGGTGCATAGGACATACATTTTGTTATGTACTATTCTTAACACAAATTTCTGAATTATCTTGTCAAATCATTTTTTCAGGGTTTTTTTCTCCCAAAAAACAAAAGAATTTCACAATGTCGAAAACGGGAAATTATCATCGCAGTATTTAGTGTGTGTGAGTCTGCTAATGTGTAGTTACATGTATAATAAACGTGTGTATTACTGTGTAGAACAAATCCCAGGGTATGAATCATCCAATTAACACAGTAGTGAAATGACAGACTTGTAGGTATAATTGTATTTTTACCACTGGTGTTTAGGTTGAATTGGTCAACACACATTTAATAGTCCATTACAGGGAATTATTTGAAATGTGTCAATTGTCTTTGTCCAATCTCCACAATATGTATTCATCCAAATGTATTGCATGCATTTGGCATATGAATTGAGGACGATATAAGAATGTACAACTACCTTTTGTTGGCAGATTTGTGATTCATTTATTTTGCTAAGAATATATTTCTAGTTTTTATATCACTATGACTGTTGTTTTTATTTCAAAAACACATATTCTTGTTCTTTTTGTTTAGCTTTGGTATCACAATTTGGGAAATCGTTACTAAGAAGCGTCCTTATATCAGTGAGTATAAACTGCTATTGGGAGAATACATTCTGGCTTCACAATATTGTTATCAATCTACATGTTATTTTCCTGATGTTACGATGTATTACTAGAAATTGTTGAATATTCAGTAATCAGATGTCCTGAATTCGTTTTACAGACGCAAAACCAGATGTAATTCCATTCGCAGTTATTAACAATCAGCGTCCAGATGAGAATGAAATTCCACATGACTGTCCCGTTTTTCTGACAAATATGATGAAAGAATGTTGGAATGGTGACCCGAAAAGAAGACCAACATTTAAAGGTAAAATAACATTACATATTAGTAACACCAGTACACAAATAATTTCGTGTAGAGGTACATGTTTTCTGTTATATTGTCTTTCACAATCAATATAACGACCAGGCTCATGTTTTCTGACTATTAACCAGATGAAATGTTATCATAACTAAACGATATTCAAGTTCATATTATGTAAATGAATTTTCAAGTCCCACAACACAGAACTTAATTATGACATATACACAGGAATGTCAAGTAATGTAAAGTGCGACAACACATGATGGGGGAAATAAATAACAATCTTTGATAAATACAGCCCAATGTATTTACATTTTTTTTTCACTCAAATACTTCATGCGAGTGTTAAATATATTGTGTATTCTTAGACTTGAGAAAGTTCTCTGAAATATCATGATATTAATTATCTATGATATTTTATAATAATAATCCATGTATATGATCTTATCTCCGAGAAGCAAAGTTCAACATGAATGCAGCAACATGAATACACGGATATTTGTATTTGTAGATAACATAATTCTTAGTCAAGTTTCAGAAAAATGTCATTATGTTTTTATATTCGAGTGGGTGGGTGATATTGAATTTTATTTATCACAAAAACAAGGTCGGTGAACCCTGCTTTTTTATTAATAGCAATAATTTATAATGAAATAATCTTCAAGTGTACAAAACAAGCAGCCTGTCGACTGAGATAGCTCCGCTGTTAGCAATGCACATTGCAATTAAAGAACAGAAGATATCTTTAGAAAATGAACAATATGTATAGTATCAAAGCAATCGAACTTGCTGTTTTCAACGAGAATTCAAAAATATTTCTTTTCACCAAAAATATTCATCGAAATTAGGTTAAATTGAATGTCTTACAACGTTGTTCGTTGTCTCAGTGACATGGACATACGGTTCACATATTCATTGGTAACATCACTCAAAGAAATGGTATTTCGGTAGTGCATTTGTTAAATTCCATAAATACGCATAAATGTATTTGTGCAATGTAAATATCACGAACTTTCATAAGATCATTTCGTTTTACGGTTTCTGTCACAGTTCATGTGCAGTTTATTACAAATCTGAAAATCTGTGATTCACAATACTATCAGCATTGAAAACAAGAATGACAATGACAATGAGTATGTGTCACACAGTTTAAAGTAGAGGTATTTAATGTTTATCTTTCATTTTAACAAGAAATGCTTGACAGAATAACTGAGAAGAGACACGCTGTCACAGTTTGTGATGAGGTTCAGGTAAGATGTTTGAATGAAACAACTAATTATAGTTTTTGTTTCCAGTCGCCAAAATCACACAAAATAAAAGAAATCTAAAATGACGATATTCTCCAGTTACACGCGAGATCATTAAAGAATTTGTTTTCATAAAAAAATTATTTTGTTAAGTATATATATTTCTGATTTGCATAGAGCGTAACCAGTTGCCAACCATCAATCCCGATCGAGTTCAAGGTAAGATTATACTATAAATACAAAAAACAACATAAAACTTAAGTCTAAAGATGCAAGTATTTAAAAACTACACATAGACACCACTGATGTTATCTCCAGAGAATGCTTATGCTATATTTAGTTATAGTAGTTACGCTATTAATGAACAATATGAACATTGTTATATTTTATAGTAATTAAATAGTACATGGTACACTAAATAATGGTAAGAATGTTTGGTGGTTTCATCAGTAGCTAAACAAGTAATAAGTGTTTATATAACACTACACCTAATGGAAACAATACATGGTAGCAGTGGCTGGTTTCATCACTGAACTAAAGATAAGGGGTCATATAACACTACACTCCATGGAATCAATACATGGTAGCAGTAGCTGGTTTCATTACTCAACTAGATATAAGTGGTCATATATTAAATAATTATTGTGAAAATAGACACAAACTACTCCAAATGCCAATGTGAATTTTATCAGTGGCACACTAAGTGTATCATTAGCTTAACTTTACTCATCCCATCATAGAGATACTACTAAAATACATGCAACTCTCATCAGCGAATTGTTGGTTTAACAGATTATTGAATTC